CTAACCTAAACTCAATTCACACCTTGGTCCTAAACCCAACCCCCATTTCTTGTTTGGATCTTAAATGAATCATGTTTTCAAACTAAACTTACAGGTTTTATGTCTTTTGTGATTTTTGGCTTGTTTCAACAGGTGGAGATATGCAGGAAAAGGCTAATTTATTGATCACAGAACTGTTCGACACGGAGCTGATCGGTGAAGGAGCTCTGCCCAGCTATGAGCACGCTCACCAAAACCTGGTCCAGGTTTGTGTTTTAACCCTGAACTCTCACAAACGCATACCTGCTGTGATCTCGCTGCTGATAAAATCTCTGTTCAGAAATGAAAACTATTTTTGTTTTAATGATAAAAAATCAGTTCAACAAACTGAAAGCCTCACATGAATGCATTTAAATCACTTTTATTAAAAAAACCAACCAGGAGTCAAACAGTTGCATAAATGTCTGTATTTTGGGTTGTTCTGTCTTTAGGTGGGCTGTGAGGCGGTCCCTCACCGGGCCACCGTCTACGCTCTGCTGGTGGAGTCGGAGCTGCTGTGGAGCTGGACGCAGCTGCAGCCGGTGGAGGTGGAGGGGTCTCGTCTGGCCCCGCCCCCCGCCATCGGCCGCTGCGCCGGAGCTCATTCAGTGTGTGACATCCAGCTGAGCCAGGTCCCCCCCACCAGCTTCACCCCCCTGAGTCTGGTCTGCTCCATGTTCAGGTACAAAGAGGAAGAATCACTTCCTGCTCCATCGTTTCCTCTCGTTTATTCAGCTCTCTGTCGTTTCCAGGGTGGACTTCAGTAAACCGCTCAGCGGGGGGGTTCGGGCACACTCCTCCAGGTTTGTGGCTCAGACTGGAGGTCGGGCTCAGGTGGTCCTGTCCTGGTGGGACCTGGACATGGATCCCAGTGGAAGCACTGTGTGCTCCATGGCTCCCAGCTGGACCTACCCACACCCGAAGAYGGCCCCGGTGAGTTACTGATCTGAGTCACAAGATGGTTTGTCTTTAGACTTTTTAAAACCTTTAACTTTTGGTTTGGTTCAGATGGTTGGGAGTTCTTATTTTGAGCTACTTTTATCTTTTATTTCATTTAATTTTAGCTACAGTTTTGCTAATCTTAGCACTTAGCTACTATTGTGCTAACTTTAGTTTTAACTGTTTTACTAGCTTTAGCTTTTAGTGTCGGTTTTGAAATTTTTAGTTTAGAATTTAGCTACAGTTTTGCTAATTTTACCTTTTAGCTACCACTTGCTTAACTTTACCTTTGTTCTGCTTGTTTTGACATTACAGTTTCATCTTCTTTAATAGATTTGAGTAAAGTCCTCCAGCTCTCAGAAAGTTTCATGTTGTGTTTTAATGTCGCTGCTCCACTAATTGTCATCGTGGTGTTTCAGTGGCGGGATCACTGGATGCAGAGTGTTTACTTCCTGCCTGTTGAAAGTCCGGTGACTCAGGGAGACCAGCTCAGTCTGACGGTCTGCCATGACGACTACAGTCTGTGGTACGACTTGAAGTCTAACAGGTACGTTTATATAAACATGTCTTTTAAATTCTTCACTTATCAAACGTGCACTGTTAGCCRTTCCACGTGACTTCAGCTGATCTTTACAATGTGTGTGTGGGGTTTCAGTCAGCAGGAGGCGCAGTCTGAGTCACCTCCCCCTCGGCCTTGTTGCACCTGCCAGGCTCACCTGGTTTGGACTCGGCCTCGTTTCGGTGAACTCAACGACCGGCAGCGGACGCAGAGCTACGTCGGCGCTCTTCGCAGCGTAAGAGWGGATCAAAGCCACGACTGTGTTTATAAGATGGTGTTGATCTGATGGGCGGTGTTGTCTCCAGGTTCTGAGTGAGGACAGTGTGGGTCTGTCTGTCAGCGATGGAAGTCTGCTTCCTGTGTTCGCTCACATGCTGGGAGCCAAGAAGGTGCTCTGATTTATTTTACAATGTTCAAAACCCTAAAACAACTCAGACTCTTTTACTGATTTGTGCTTTTGTTTTCATCTCAGGTGTTCAGTTTGGAAAACTCCAGAATGTCTAAACAAGTGATTGAGCAGGTAATCTGCAGGATTTCATTCACTGATGTCTTTAAGATATTAACTATTAAAGATAGAGAACACTAAAGACTAAATGGTTACTTAAATGGTCGAAACAAGTACAACAGTTTCTAAAAGCTAAATTAGCAAAACTGTAAATATAACTGTTAAAGGTGCAGTATGTAACTTTTCTAAAAATGTATTTTTTACATATTTTTTCATTCTGTCACTATCTCCTGACAGATTGATATTAGACAGGTAAGCTATGGAGGAAAAAAGAGTCCTCTTGCTTTTCCCGGTG